AGAGAATGAATGAATTTGACCTAGTTCCTCTCCTTACGATGCTCCCGTCTTGTTCGTGCCCAAAAAGGAAGGAGAACTTAAACTTTGTATTGACTATCGTGGGTTGAATTCTGTCACTGTCAAGAACGCGGAACCTCTGCCTCGCATTGGCAACTTGTTGGATCAGTTGTAGGGATGCAAGTACTTTAGTAAGATTGATTTGAAGCCAGAATACCACCAGATCGAGGTGGCATCAACATAGGACAGCCTTCCTAACGAGATATGGTCATTACGATTTCGTGGTTATGCCCTTCGGATTGACGAATGCACCTACTACCTTCCAAAGATTTATGAATGAATTATTTCGCTAATGGTTGGGTCAGTTCGTAGTTGTATATCTCGATGATATCCTCGTGTATAGTAAGATACTTGAGGATCACGAGAAACATCTAGGAATGGTTCTACAGAAGTTGCAAGAAGGCAACTACAAACTGAATCCTAAGAAATTTGAGTTTGTTAAATCTGAGGTATTATATCTTAGACATAGTAAACGAAGAGGGATTAAAACCTGGAGAGAAGAAAATAACAACAATTCAGGATTGACCTAGACCCAAGACTGTCACTGAACTTAGATATTTTGTAGAACTTGTTAGTTACTATAAGAAGTTCGGAAGGAACTTCTTATTGATAGCTCCGCCTATGAGAAAACTTACGAAGAAAGAAAAACCTTGGTTATGGGACAAGGACTGTGAGTCCGTATTTAAGAAGCTTAAACATGTACTAACTCACTATCTTGTCTTGAAAATTGTTGATCCTTCTCCCCTTTTCATTGTCACTACCGATCTAAGTCAGTATGGAATAGGGGTGGTGCTACAACAAGATGATGACAAAGGATATAGACCCATAGAGTTTATGTCAAAGCATCAACAGTCAGACACAGTAGTTAACTCCACATAGGAAAGGGAACTGTATGCTCTAGTTGCAGCTTTGGACACCTGGAAGCACTACTTGCTCGGGAGACACTTCACTATGTACTCAGACCACTCTACTTTGAAGTGAATAAAGACTCAACCTCGACTCTCCGAGAAGTTAGTAACATGGTCTGCATTCATGGATACGTTTGACTTTGAATTGAAAACTATTAAAGAAAAATCTAACGTGGTTGCAGATGCCTTGTCCAGAAGATCAGATTTCTTTGGTGCTATTGTCTCTTATCTCGATATTGGGAATGACTTGAAAGACCATATTCATAAGGGTTACACTGACGATCCGATTGGGAGTCCTATAATTGGGACCCTACAGAGAAACCCTGAACTACTTTCTGAGTGTCGAATGTCTGATGGCTTACTGTTCGTCATTGACAAAACCGAAGAAAGACCGTGCATTCTATATAAAGAACAAATCAAGAGTATGATTATTGGGGAATGCCATGACACTGAAGGACACTTCGGTTTCAAAAAGACGTATGTTAATGTTAGAGGATGCTTTGAATGGAAGGGAATGAATGAGGATGTGCTAACCTATGTGCGAACTTGCCTTGTTTGCCAAAGGAATAAGCCCTCGCATGAGAATCCACTAGGACTATTGAGACCACTACCTATTCCAAGTGAGCCAAATGAGTCTATCTCGATTGACTTTATGAGCCTCACTGAGAGTCGGAATGGCAACAGTCGGGTAATGGTTATTGTTGATCAATTCTCTAAATATGCTATGTTCATTCCTCTACCTGCCGAAGCAAGAACGAAACTCGTCATCCAGAAGTTCCAGATGCGATGGGTTTCAGACTATGGATTTCCAAAAACCATCGTCTCTGATCGGGATGTACGGTTCACTGGCCAACAATGGCAAAAGTTGATGGAAGCATACGACACTCGATTGACCATGCCGTCAGAAAGACACCCTGAAATAAATGGACAAACTGAACAAATGAACGGTTTGTTCCAGCAACTTATGCGCATGTATGGAAGGCCAAATCAGATCTATTGGGTTGAGAACTTACCTAATATTGTGAGTGCATACGATAACAGTGTTCACACCATAACTGATAGAACATCGAATGCACTTCACAAAGGATGGAAGCCGCACGTCTTATTGATGCTTCGACCACGGACCGAGTCCAACGACTACCCCCAGGAATACGAGAGTTTGCAGTTCTGTATGAAGAAGATATAAGGAAAGTAAAAGATAATATTCAGAAAGCCCAACTACAAATGATTGAACAGGCTAACAAATGTCGTCGACCATGAACGTTCAAAGAAGCAGATCTTGTTTGGGTCAAGTCTACAAAATTTTCCTTACAAGAAAATATATCATAGAAAATGCTACCTGTCTATTATGGACCCTGGGAAGTTCTCACGGCGATAGGGGATACTGATGGACCCTCCTACAGAATAGATGTAACCCCACACCTCAAGACCTATCCTGTTTTCCATGCGTGTAAACTACTGCCATATGTAGAAGGATATGATTTTCCCAACATGCCATCTATGTTTCCTCCTTCAATGGACGGTGGCTATGAAGTTGAGAAGATACTTGAACATGGATACTTTTCTACATGTGGCAAAGGAAGACCCCAGAAGCAGTTCAAGGTAAAGTTCAAGTCTCAACCTCCGTTTGAGGCTAGATGGTTTAGCAAGAAAGAACATTTGCCTACTGCTCCTGATATCATCTATGAATATGAGTGTGAATTAAGAAAAAATTAAGTATTTATGCGATGAAACTCAAAATTTGGGCCGAGAGGAATGCAATAACCCGCCCAAATATGCCTATGTCGCCGTCTAAGGGCCACATGCAAGCCAAGAAAAAGGCCTTTCGACCATGCGCCCGACTCGGGGGAAAACAGAGCCCCTGAGACGTGGCTCAGAGGCCCTGCGCCCGACAGTTGACCAAAAGTCAGTTGTACGAAGCTCACAAGTCAAAGTCTTCACGGATCCAGTCTAGGCCACCGATCAGACATACACACTTGGATGTACGCAGGTATCTAGACAACATTCGGTCCAAGTGGGAGTCTGCAAGTGTATGAGATCCATGTCGTCAGCTGTGAGTCAATTTGAGCCTCCGTGAGTAAGAGACCAGCGGCAGGTCAACTTCGTCAACACTATTTGTTGATCCTGCCCCTGGGAGTCAACATTTTGTCTTTCCTTGCTGACTTGACGTCGGCACGATGCTGGCTGGACGCTGGCAAAATGCTGGCTCTACGCTGGCATTGTGAGATGACGATGCGAGACTGTTGCATCCGCGTGCTGGCGCCTCCCTGCTCTGGCGCCAACTGCCTTCTTGCTTGCTGACGTGGCGCATGCTACGCTGTCTTCGATATTGCTAGCGTGGCGCATGCCACACTGTCTTCATTGTTGATTGGGACGCCACAAGGAGGGAGATCGGGATTTGTGGGATAGAGAGAGGGGACTTACATGTTGATATCATCAACATTGTGCGTTGCAGAGACGTCTTCATGGGATAATTGTGCCGACATGGCACTTCAATGTGATCAGACCTCGTTAGGCTTGTTACTGAGACACTGTTTGATGACGTGGAGGGGAGGAGAAGCTCGAAAGAAGGAGAGGGGGTTAGGGGGTTCCTATGTGAGGAGCCGAGCGTTGAGCCAGGGAGTTGCCCAGCACTGGCAGAGGGAAGGTAGCCATAGCTGCGCCAGTGCCTAGTAGTTAGTGGTAGACTTCAGAGGGGTTAGTAGAGTTAGCAGTGGGTGTATTCAGAGTTGGTCCTTGAGTAGTAAAGAGTGTGAGTGCATGCAAGTAGGGAGAGAAGACACAGGGAGGTAGTAGATAGAGAGAAGACTGAGAGAGGAGAGAGAAGAGGAGTGAAAGAGATACTTACCTGAATGAAGATACTGGTTACTTGGATCTGTGTTGTTGAGCGCTGGTGAGTGAAACTCTTAATTGCTCGTATGATAATTTGTTGGAATTCTAAGGCTGCGCTTACCTGGTCTTTGTCTCTCTAACCTCCAGTGTGAACTTCGTGTAACCTCATTTGTGTGTAGTGTGTGATTGTGTGCACTCATTGGTGGTGACCTAGGAGCTTCATTGCAAACTGGTATCGGAGCAATAGCTCGCTGCATCCACTTCACATCACAGGCAAGGATTAAGGCTGGCGAGAGGCAGATAAGAGAGTGGGGAAGAAGATATGGTTTGGCCGAAGAAGAAGTGGATAGGGTTGGTGATTACGTATCTGCTGCTACGTTGGAACATTGGAGCGAACAAGGAGCTTCATCAAAGGAACGTTCACTGAAGTGAAGTGCATCGCCCCCCTAAGCCCAGATTGTTTGCTGAATTGTTTGTCCTTGGTACCTTCCACATCTTGATGTCGCTGCTGCTGGTCAGGACTGAGTCTGGGGAGATATTCGATTGGCTTTGAGGATAGTATATACGATTTGTTGAGTCTAGTGTCTAGTCAGCATCGTTAAAAAAAAAACCGTATACAATCATGAGACGAGAAGGGCAGCGGACACAGTGGGAAGGTTATTCGGCCAGTAGTGAGAGTCAAACCCACTAAAGAGTTAGTAATTTGTGGGAGGAGGTAGGTCTAAGTGGTGAGGGGGTGGAGGCTACTTACCTGTGCCTTTGATCACCATGGATGACTATCCCATGTTCACACTTATGTCCTTGTCCGTGCTATGGGGACCCCTTCTTCGCTTGATCTTTCCTCTTGGTTTCCAGCAAACACTCTTCTCGCATGCAGTGCCAAGGTCTGGGAAAGCAATAGAGTCGCATACAGTCGAGGAGCAGGCAAAAATTGACCGTCGGCTAGCCTTAGAGAAGGAGGAAAAGAAAAGGAAGA